ATAGTTTTTTCTCTGGTAATATTACACTACTAACTAGAACATACAAAACATTTGCTAGACCAATACTCGAATAAAGCTCATCAGTCTGGAACCCACATTACGTATCTGATATTAACACAGTTGAGAAAGTCCAGAAATATTTCACAAGAAGAGTTCTCCACTCCTCTACTCGTTGCAGAATACCTTATGCCACCAGACTTGAAATTCTAGACCTAGAAAACCTAGAACTACGCCGCCTTCGGTCTGATCTAAGTATAGTATATAAAAGCATACATTGCAATGTCCTACCTGTCAATGAATACTTCAGCTTCAACCATAACAATACAAGATCAAACAATAGATACAAACTCAAGGTTAATCGCACCAAACTTGATTGTAAGAAATACGACTTCAGCAACAGAGTGGTCAATGTCTGGAATACTCTACGTGACTCTGTGGTTTCTTCCCCAAACTCCAAAAACTTTAACCTTAGACTTTCTACTATTGACCTCACCCCTTTCCTTAGAGGTCTGTAGGGGGCATGCATAAGCGCACCAACGTGCCTACCGTCCCTGTCCTATTGTTTCTTTTATTTTTCTTATATGTATCCATGTATTTATAACTATGTTTTTACTTATACCTATTATCTTGTAAGCAATTGACAAACCAAATAAAAATAAAAAAATATGATCAACAATTAAGATTGTCTCATTTGACAGATAGATGATCACCATTTACATATTCCCAACCAGCCTGCAACAAGCAGAGTTAATGGAGAACATGAAAGTAAAATAAAAAGTCACAGCCATGTGACGTTTTGCTTAATGACTGTGGTGACTCCTTTAACAATTGAATGGGAAGATTCTAAAACAGAGGGATTCTATGATAAACAGACTGATCTAGATAAGATTTTGATGGGTACTGATGAGAAGGTGATTAAAAAATTATATGGTTATTTACTGGGAATTAAATTAGAAGAACAAGTTAAAGAAACTATGATTGTTTGGGGGAAGAATTTTGGATATGGGATTGATTTAGAGAAATGGCAAAAATTGTGGTCTCAAAATTATAAAATGACAATGTCAACAGCATATAAGGAAAATTTGTATAAGATGTTTTACAGGTGGCACTTTCCCCCGACAAGAATAGCAAGAATGTTCAAGAACAAATCTGAAAAATGCTGGAAATGTCATCAGATACCTGGCTCATATTACCATATGTGGTGGACTTGTGAGGACGCTAAAAAATATTGGACTAAAATTCGCATGTGGTTGGAAAAAATGACAAAAAAACGTGTAGATTTGAAACCGGAGTTCTTTTTATTGGGAATCTTACCAGATACATATAGTAAAGATTTGAAATACCTGATTGTAAATGTGTTAACAGCAGCTAGGATTGTATTTGCTAAAAACTGGAAGAATGAGAAAATACCATCACAGGAAGAAATTATTAAGAAAATATTGGAATGTGCTGAGTAGATTGACATTTGAAATTAGAGAGCAAGAGGATAAACAATTTTATGAAATTTGGGATCTTTTTTATCAGTGGCTAGATGACAAAATACGATAATAGAATATTTAGAAAGTTAGATAGCAAGGAATACTTTTATTTTTTCTTTTGCCTATGTTATTTGACATTATATCTATAAAGTGTTTTTAGGATAGATTTGGTATGATTATATGATTTGTTATAGAATAAACTGTTTAAAGTATTGTTCTCTCATAAAGCATGAATGATTAAAAGTATAGTCAAATGATTTATTAATAGCGATATTAGGATATATAAGTTTGGATTGACAATATGAGTTGTTATGTAATATAACTGCAATTGAGACTACGAAATGAATGCACAAAACCGATGAACCAACCGACACACTGTACGTACATAAGAGAGTTGATGTTTTAATGTTTTGTTTGTCTTGTTTGTTTGTAGAAAATCAATAAAATTGTTTTAAAAAAAAAACACAATTGAATGGGAAGTAATGTCATAAGTCCATAATGATCACATGATTTTTCACTTAGCAACTGTTGCATTATGGCCACTAAGCAAGGACTACTTATATACTAATTAAGGAAAGAAGCAACTTAGAACTAAGGAGAAATTTCCTGACAGTTAGAACATTGCCTCCAGAAGTTGTAAATGCTCTAACACTGGAAGTTTTTAAGAAGAGATTGGATAACCATTTGTCTGAAGTGGTGTACGGTTTCCTGCCTAGACAGGGGGTTGGACTAGAAGACCACCAAGGTCCCTTCCAATTCTGTTGTTGTGTTCTATTCTGTTCTATTCTACTATAACCTATGCAGTATAAGTGCAGGATTACTAGATATCCAAATATTTCATATATGCATCTTATCTTTCTATAGGATAACATATACAGAATCAACTAATCTTTGCCACCACTTCCTACATCAAATTATGAGGTAGATTATAATAAGAGGCAGTTAATTAACCCAATGCTACCCCATAAGATTTACAGCTGAGGGCTTCAGCTACCATGACTTTATCCCAGGCATAATATTGCAAACTTCTTTACTTTAAAGGTATTAATTTCAAAATAATAGATCAGGGGTAACTAAACCGGTGCGTACTAAGTACTGTTGATTTCAGTTCCCATGACTTCCTACCAACATAGTCATAGTTAAAAAATTTATTTAATTTCGACACTGCCTATCTCAGGTAAGTAGTTAAAATATTTGTGAATTGCAATAAAAATCTGAAGAACACTTGGTTGCTACCACATTCCTAAATTACAGAGTAATCTTGGCAGTTAAAGGGTACATCCTACTTTTGTATTATAATCCAGGAAGATAAATTTCATAATATATAAGACATTTTAATTTTCGTATGTATTCAGCGTGTAGAGTGTATCTATGAATCTAGGGTTACTATTTGGTTGTTACACTTAAAACATCTTAGATCATTCTTCAGATCATAAGCACTATGGGAAATTTGAGAAGCTAAGAATATAAAAAGAAAGTATAAAAAGAAAATGAACAAATGTATAAGCTATATCATAGCACACATATAATGTTAACAGTCCCACGTGTATATTACTGATCATAAAAATATGAAATGGTCAATTCTCTCTTTAAAAAGAAAATAAAACCTCAGCACTCTCTCTTATTTACTAGAGGAACACAAGATTTTCAAGCCAGCACAAAGTCGAAAGTCCTTGCTTAACAACTTATTTGGTCCTCACTTAATAATAGCAACCAGGACTGCTCTTGCTAGGTGCTCTATGTTACCAACTACTTGTTCAACAACTGTTAGAAACTGTGATAGCACTGAATGACTCCTACTTATGACTGGTCCTCTACATTCCAATCACTGTAGCATCCTGCAGTCACATGATTGCCATTTGTGACCTTCCCTGCCAGCTTCTCACAAGTCAATGGGGAAGTTGGCAGGAAATGTCACAAGTTGCTATGGTGAATATCCCTCCCGCCTTCCTGTGTACTATGCTGCACTTACCTTCCCTTGTACTCACACTGACCCACATTCTCCTTCCCTTGGCCTCCTTGTGCTCATATCAATCCACACCCTCCTTCCCATGACTTTCCTGTGCTCCCCTCCCCCAATTCATATGTCACCTGCACTGGGCATCTCCCTTCACCTGTGGCATCTTTGTGCTCCTTACCTGGGACTCTCACCACTTCCCACTCGATTGCACACTTTCGGATTACAACAGCAACCTAAACTGCCTGGATTGCTATCACTAAGCAAGGTGATCATGTGACATCACTTACCAATGTCACTTACCAATGGCAATAGCTGTTACAACCCAAGGATTATCTCTACGTTCTGTCATGTTTCATTTTAAGTAATGCTCCATTCCCTATTCAAGCTCATCTGTTTAAAAAATGCACAGAAGAGAGATCTTGATCTACTGGCATCCCCTTGAAACAGATAAGCAAGAGTTTACAAGTCTCAATATGTAGATAATCTCAAAAATATAACTCAGAGAATTTACAAAATCACTGGCTCCACCCTGGAAAACATCATTTTGCATTTGCCTCCCTACCTTTTTTTGCACATGGCTAGGGTTGGTGGATCTAACAAAGAATAGAGGGAATCTCACAAGTCTGAAATACACACAAAACTGAAGTGGGTCATTGAAACGTAACAATGAAGATAACTCTTCACGTTGCATGTTCATGATACCGACATGATTATTACTAAGTCATGAGAACCTCCACAAAATGCATGGCAGCAAAAACACTCAGGATAAGCCATTACGCCTGCCTTTATTTGTGTGGCTGGGTTAGGTTAGGTTAGGTTAGGTTAGGTTAGGTTAGAGCAATTAGTAAGAAAGGGAGTAGAACCAAGGCAAGCAGTGACAACAGGGCAACTTCATGACAAAGTTGGGGCTTTCCAAACTGCAGGCCATTGTGTGTGTGTGTGCTTGTGTTCCCATATTTTTTAAATAAGATGGTGAACTTACATAATGCTCCTCACTCCTTCCATTTTCCCAACAACAACCTTGTAAGGTGGGTTGGGGGAGGGAGGGAGAGAATGAATGAATGAATGAATGAATGAATGGCCTAAAGTCACCCATCCAGCTTTCCTGACCAAAAGGGATGCCTACAATTCAGTCTGCCGCTTTGTAGGCCAGCAGCACCTTCACCTCTACACCAGGCTGACCAAGACATCTAGGTACTGAGCTCCAACACTTCAAGGGCTAACAGGGTAAGGAAGCAGAAAAGGCTCTTCCGCTAATAATACTGACAGGCCTCCATCCGGAAGGTGGTGGTGGTGGTGTGTCCAAAATGCAAAAGCGAACGGGACAGAAAGCCCGGCCGGGCTGAAGAAGGCGACCTTTTCCTGCCCAGAAGGGAATATTCCAGTTTCCCTGGGCAACTCCAGCCTCACCGCCGCCCACTGTAGTCTAGGCAACTCTCCAAAGGTCGGGCGCCTCTCCTTCGGAAACGCAGCCCGGGCCAAACTCCGCGGCTTGCAAGGAGGGGGGACGTTTGCCTCTGCTTCCCTTCCGCTCCCATTCCCGCCGCTGCTTTCCCCCTCACCTGCTATCTGAGTCACGAAGGCTTCCGCCACCAGGGACATGCTTCCGAAGACAGGAGATAACGCCCGTCCCCAGGCCGCGTCGTAAGCGGCCGAAGGTTAAGGACACCAAGGGAGGAGAGCACAGCGGCTGCGCCGACCAACCTGCGGGGAAAAGTGCATCCGGGGCCTGCTCCGCCCCTCGGAGGAGAAAGCGCCTGCTTGCAAGAGCGGAGGGAGAGTCGTGCGGCAATTGCCGCCTGCTCTCTCAAGGGCCGCTGCGGGTCTGGGCCAGAAAAAGGTTGCGGTCCCGGTTCTCTCATTACCCGCACCTGGGTGTGTTAGATTCGTGGTTGGGAGAAGTAGATTCAGATGGGCTCGCTAGTCGCAAAAATGCGCGGATTTGGTTTTGCCATTTTTCCCCCCTGGGCATTTTTGACAAAGGGCTAAGGATGGGGGGAGTGAGTACCGGCCCACTGAAATATCCCGAAATAAAAATTCCCGCAAACCTGATTGCCCCAAAGATCCATTCGGGCACCAGCATTTATGGTAGTGATGTGCACATAGAGTCTGAGGGAGGCCCCGCAATGCTTAGGGGCCACGTATGAACGCAGTCCCTGACAAATTATGGCTCAGTATATATATTTATTTTTGTCAATTGCTTACAAGATAATAGGTATGAATAAAAACATAGATATGAATACATAGGTACATATAAGAAAAATAAAAAAGAAAAGAAAAAATATGAAATAAAAGCTTTATGGTTTGTTTGTTTTCAAGGAAATAAAAACAATTTGTGATTAGCCAGAGAATTACGTAGCAGTACTTAGTTCAATTTGGTTTGTGAGAACAGTTGTTTTTCTAGGGTTTCAATAGGACATTATTTCTTTTATCAAATTTCTACACTGCCCACCTCACCTGACACCCAGTGGTTTACAAATAAAAAAGCATATAACAATGTAAAAAAAAAACCAGTTAAAAATAGAATTAAAACCGATATGAAATCAGAGGCTAGAAATAGGTTAAGAATGTAAAGGGGCTGGGGAGAGAGTGCCCTCAAGCCCCCAACCACCCACATGGTTGCATATCATGCCAGTTGGCAGAGGCAGGTCTAAGACTGGCCTTAGAAAATGGAAGGAGCAGTGACACAGCCCTGTAAAAGAATTTGGGCCAAGAAGCAGAAGATTGATACCATCCGCACTCCCCGGGAGGTAAAGCAGAAAGTGGGGCGACCCCGATTACCACTGAAGGAAGCTGTGACCTTTTGCTGTTTCCTGCTTGATTTTCCCCTTATAATTTATGATTTACTGCTTGATTTGCCCCTTATATTTTATGTTCTAACTTGACCATTATTTTCAATGGAGAAAAAATGGAATTTACAATATTTGGATCTTTGGTAACAAGGTTTTGTTGTTCATTGGTGTTTTCTTGCAAACCACCATAGACGTGCTGCTCAAGGAAGTTGTAAGTGGTACCCATGACACTGAGCAGTGACTGCCTCCCTTGGGATCTCATCAGGCTGCCCTCATCTGACTTCATATTTTTAAAGATGGTTCTAATTCAAAACTGATTAGAAATGCCGCATGCTGCAAAGCAAAGTAATTGGCTCCACTGTCATTGATTTACAAGAATGTCTTTTGGCCCTTCATATGTTTTTCGGGCATTCCTGCAAAAGATAAACAGTTATAGTCAAAGGGTTTTTTTGGAGTGGGGGGAATGTGTCTACCGACTCGAGGGGAAAAAACCAAAACCACAAAACTCAAATGACAGGAACATCTTTGGAAGCTGGAACTGCTGGTACAATGCAACTGCCTTAAATGCCACCTGGTAAAGGAATGTTTTGTGAATGGTCACACCTGTTCTTGCAGCCATTTTGTGAATAATAAAGCTACTTCATGGTAGCCATTTGTGGAAGTCTCTATGTTATACTCTCAAAATTACAAATGTGCTCACCAGCCCAAAATATTGACCAACATTGATATATTTGAATTTCAAAGTTCTGAATATTTATGAAAATATGTACTTTGGAATTATATGTTTGTTTTTTACCTTATTATTAGGCAGCTGCAATACTGGAGATCTATGATTTTGGTTTCAGTGCATATTACGCACATTTCACCCAGATACAAGTTCTCTCATAGATATGACTTTAAACAGCACTAACAGCAAAGCTGACAGTATATATTTGAACAATTTCAATGTCTCCAGGCTTTTTGTTTTCTTACTTCATATTTCATTTTAGTAGCAGAAGCAGAATTAAACTGTCAGCAATATTTGAGAAGCAAACACTGTTCATGTTACTAACAGTTTTACATCCGTCATGACTTACATAGTAAATGTCATCACCTTCAAACATATGCCTTGCCTCCATTTGCTGGATAGTTATGTGGCTAATCCTCAAACCAACAATCCATCATAATGAACAAAATTATGATAAATATCCCCATCAGTTATAATACTGCAATATTGGTCAATGCTTTTCATTACTGCATTGTCTAGATCTAATTTCAGTGTGGCTCTTTCTTACTGTATTTCCACAGTGAGCTACTCATTATCTCTGGCCTAATCTTGCAATTCTCAATGAAGCAGGGAGGGAAGAGCAGTCTAATGAAAGGTTATTGGGTTTTCACATCAGGTTGTGTAGACTCCATGAAGAATGGTGTTTGACCTTGAAAATAATAGCTGTTTATTATATATAAAATAAAAGATTTTCTCCTTTTGTTACTGTTTTTTGAGCTGTGTTTTTTTTAAAAAAAAAAACAAGAATTGGAATAAAGTAAGCTATATACTTTATTACACTTGTCTTCAGCCTTTTATCTGTTAGCTCTGTTGTTCATTAAGATGTCCAGCATATGCAAACACATTTGACAAAATATTCATACAACAAGCTATGCAAGCAAAAAAAACCCTGAAAGTTCACTCAGCATCCAGAAACAAATGTAATACTGGATTTTGTGGTTGAAGCCAACTGCTAAAGTTCGTCCCAGCAAATATTTTTGGCCTTGTGCAGCTAAATTCAATCTCATAATTGTGACATAGCTGGAAACTTGTGGTTGCAAAATATAGTGGTCCCAAAATGAACTTTTGCCCAGAATGAGAATAATTTTTAAATTTCCCCATCGCAAGATGTCATTTTTTTGAAGTCGTTTTAGAAAGGGGGAAATAAATTACTTATGAGTGACTGTTGACCACCCTTGTTAGAAAACATATATTGAACATGCTAATTATACAGTTATGGTACAAGCATGACATTCTGAGCCTTATGCATAATCTCCAGTGAAAGCTTAATTTGACAAGAAAATTAGTCTGTGTACTCTTTAAAAAAAATTCTTAATATTTCTAGGTATTAGATATTACCATAACTGTACTCAAACCTGGATCGTGTGCTGTATCATGTACTGATTCAACACTTCCTGCACAACTAGGGTTGCTGATCACATGCCAGTATATCCTCAGTCACCATCGGTATCCATAATCTTTCTGATATTAGAAAATGAATTGTGTGCACTGATTCTGATGATGTTTCCAAACTAGTGTATTCTCTTAGCTAAGTACTGTATTACAAAGAAAGACTATGGGTTATACTGTAGATACCAGTGGATAAATGGACTTTAGTTTGGTTTCCAAGTGACCGTTAAAAATACCCTGTCTGTCTTCTAGAAAAATAAGGGGCAAATCTCATCCACCAGTATTTTGGCAGGATTTTTTATAAGCTATGGGTGATAAGACATCCTTTACAGCAGCCCTGTAGTTCAACTGTTCCTATTCCCCCTTCAGAGCCCCTGCAGGCTCTGTTGTTCACAATCTTTTCTGTAGATAGCACTAACTTCATCCAGTGCAATTTCTGCCTATTTGCTATTTATATAGTCTGTAGCCTGAAGGCCAATCTTTAGTTCCCAACTAATTCTCAAGATTTCAGGCCCATGAATTAAATGTTTGCCCTTTGAGATCAGCCACAAAAAGAAAGGACATTTCTTCCATTGATAATGTCTTACGACTGACTCTGCAATAATGGACAAAGGCATAAGAAAATAATTCGCATTTTCCATGTGACAGAAACCTTGTATCAGGATTGTCAGCGTCTTTTCTGCTCAATGCTCTTGTCATTTAAATCTTTTGATAAGAATCAGCTGGGAATGGAGCTCTATAGCTGCAACAGCTTCTTGCAAATTGTAGATGGAGTTGATATTGCAGATACCTAATTAATGTGACGTATCACCTTATTTCAGTCTCAGGCATTTTTGGCAACACTGAATTGTTTTATATCAGGGATTATGTAGATATGGCAAACAGAATTACGGTATTATACCCTAATGTATTTTCAATTCTATAAAGTTCATGGATACACTACTACTAAACATTATCATGAAAAAGAAGCTAGATAGATATGTCTGATAAATTAGTGCAGGTTACTGTATAACAATTAAGTCTGATTCTCCGTATTGCCCAAAATGATGAGATTGAAGAAGTGGACGAAGCTAATGACTCAATGAGTCATATGATTGTTGAGATTGGGTCCAGTATAGAAAACAGAAGCTTCTTCACTGTTTTGCTTTAAGTTTGATATAAGGGAATTAAACATCCAGAAAACTTGCAATCTATTCTAAATCTGCTTTGAGGGAGAAAGGTTTCACTAGGATTTTGACATATTACTAGTTAGTTTCATGGACTATCTAACACTACACACATACTTGAAAGTAATTTGGCAAATCATCTTTGGGGTCTGAATATTTAACTATGACGAAGCCTGTGAATTGTAACAACACAATATTTGGATAGACATTTAAAACGGTTTGGTTTAATCGGGTTTTTAAGCCAGTGATCCTGTTTAGTGTGTGTAAGTAAACATGTCTGTGCATATACATGTTCCCTGATTTTTATGTTGTCATAAACCCCAAAAAACTTAAAATGTTTGGCAAAGTCCTCTTCAAACTGATGACATCCAAATCTGTAAAATCTCAAGAACTGAAATTCCACACACACCCAGAAGGCACCAGACTTGTTTACTTCATTAAAAAATAGGTTTTTCCAGGATTCCCATAGAAAAACAAAACAAATGTTCAGTTCTGTAAAGCAAATGTACATTAAAATGGTTCAAAAGGAAGGAAACAAATATTTTATTGTCATATTTTACTGCGGAAAAGAATTAAATGAATA